GGTTGCCCTGCAGTGGGTGGATGGCTAGCCATGAGGGTCGTGACAAGATTGGAGGTGATCGCGTCGGTGGTGGTGGACCGACGATTCAGGCTTCGTGGCGCTTCGTGGCAGCCGGTAACCGGTGTAACGCCCGGCGCCTATTGGAGCGACTCTCCCACGACTCTTCCCCGCGGCTTGAACGCGATTATATTGATCACTGGCCAGGAGGCCCAAGGATAGAGACTAATAACTCGAATAAACGACTTTTTTGATACTCGGAAAGCTTCTTGTATAGATAATATATAAATCCGGCTCTCTGGCGACGACTCTACACCACCATCATGTCATATCTCAAGCATTCTGAAGTGATCTCCTCTGTTCACTCGAAATTCGAAGCTGCAAAAGCTTCCGGTGCTCTTTTCTTTTACCCCTCTACTCGCTCCAGAGCTACCGAGCGTGGATTCAATGTAAGTGGACCCTCGTTCTAGTCGATCAAGAACTCACCCGGCGGTATATCCAGTTCGAAATCACCATATGCCCTGCTTTACAGAAGAAGCCCACTCTCCCAGCACCCGAATTTACCAAGGTTGATAAACCGGACCCGTTCGCCCCGCCGTATATACCAGACTTGTTTGTTGGGGACCTGAAGGATGAATTGGATGGAGACGAGTATGTGATTCTTGTGCGTGCGTATCTCAACATCTGTGCATCAAGATCCATTAATCCGAATACATCTCTATCTTAGCTCAACAAGTTTAGCGTTATCCAAGGGCATTTTTTGATGGTTACCAAAGGTAAGTCCGACTACGTACGATGATGACAATTCTCAGTGACAGATGTGTGGTAGGGTTCCAACCGCACAATTCGCCACTCACACCTCCCGATCTTACCCAAGCGTATCTACTCATCCGCGCATCTCAAAAGTCCAAGTCTCCTGTTTTTGCAATCTACAATTGCGGAGCGGACTCGGGTGCTAGCCAGCCTCATAAGCACATCCAATTCCTCCCAACTACCAGGGACGAAGTAGATGAGGACGAAGATGAGGAGGATGACTCGTGGCCTCCGGTCGAGGCTTATATCCAAAGGCTAAAACTCGAAGATGACAGTAGGTACCTAATTTTTAAACTGCATCTCGGTCATCTGACAGCGACGGTAGCAAAACTGTTCTCCTTGCCACTTCCCTACGCCCACTTTGTTCAAAAGCTACAGCTTCCCAAGGCAACAGTCTCGGGCACCAAACCACTCTCTAAAGAAGCCCTTGGGGAACTGAGCGGAAAGTTGACCAATACTTTCCTTAACCTTCTCGATGAGGCAATCCAAACAATCCGACTCTATCATAGCTCCAAGACTTCAACAACTGGTCCTGCAGAAACTAGCCGAGCATCAGCCCCTAGCTACAACATCATTCTCACTTCGGAGCATATGCACCTGATACCACGGCTGCGAGAGCGAACGCTCGAAGAACTGCATCCCGATGGAGCAGGCAAGACAGAAACCGAGGCAGCCTACACCCCTCAGAAACTGAGTGTTAATTCGCTTGGGTTTGCTGGGATGTTGTTGGCGAAGAGCGATGCGGAGGCCCGAGCGATCAAGGCGAGGGGCGTGGTCGAGTTGCTTAGCCAGGTTGGGGTACCCAATATTGCAGAGGAATCCAATGACGC